TACTTTCGCGGCAATTAGAAGGGGCAAGATGTTTTTCAATCCTCCCTTCTTCTTACCTCGAGCTGAAATATTACAAAATTATTGAATAGGAAACTTCCTTACGTCACTATGCGTTAAAATTTTCTTAAAATCTTAAAATTATTAAATTTGATTTTTTTTTAATTTTGTCAGAACTTTTATTTTTATAATAAAAAAAGAAAATTTATGAAAATTTTAATTTTTTTTACATCGAAATAAATATTATTTTTAATCTAAATTCTTGTATTTAAAAAATTTATATTTTGTTTCTATATTATACATTGTTTTTTTTTTAAGTATATTTACCGTTTAATTTAAATAAATTATTTTTTTTAATGAAATAAAATTCTTTCTAATTTAATAGCACTTTTAATTTATCAATATATAAATAACGATTATTAGAAATTATATACATTAATTAAAATTTTACCTTCAACAACCTCATCAACGGCCTGACGAATCTCTGATGGCACAGACTCGCTAATAGATCGAGCCGATTCACGGAGTTTCTCAAAAGCAGGTGCAAGGTTGACCTGAAAAAAATTAATGACTTGAATTCAATCACACGCGTATATAGACATAAAAAAAACTCGAATTGAAAAATAAAATTTATCAATTATTGCAACATAGTTAGGCTATTGATAGGCTACTTATTTCAATATTTTTGCTCTACCCTAAGGCTGCGGCCAGTGAAAAGTTGTCCGGCTCCATCACTAATGAAGTTCTCGAGGGTGTTCTGCCTCTCCACGATGTCGTTAGCGGCGTCCATCTCTTGATCATAAACGAGCGCCTTGCCAGACCTAGCACTACCAGCGTCGGCATCACTCTTCACAAGGCTGATTCCGCTGACGAGTTCAAATTTATCCTTGGCGAGGAATTCCTTAGCAGTCCTGTATAGGGTCTTTTGCACGCAGGATATGCTGTCTTGCTTGAGGCATTCGTCGATGCTCTGTCCGGCGGTGAGAACGACCGCGATCGTCAAGATCAATAACTTCTTCAGCAACGTCATGATTACTTGCGAATTTCACGAGATTAGAGAAGAATTAACACCAGTTCGCGGCACCACAAATCAAGAGATACTCGATGGATCTCCAAAGCTGCACGTCGGATCAACCGCTGTAGATCTCCCTTTTCCGAAAGGCCGTCCCGTGCGTAGTGAATTTCGTGGTCCATCGGACCATCTCTTTAGCTTATATTTGGTTGAAAACTCCCCTCTTCTGTCTCCGCCGGTGACCGCCCCACCGCCTCTTTTTTTCTTCTTTCTGTTTGGCATGCGTCGTGAATGCGTGTGCGTCACGTGTGTCGCACCGCCGACGTTTAACCGCACGTCGACGTATAGACGGTCCCCGCCCAATAGACGATAAGTTTACCTACGCGTTCGAGGTTCGGCCACACCGTCCATCAAGGCGCGACCTGCGACCTACCTACGACGACAGAGCAAATAGAGGCCGGGCGTATGGGTGCTGCGAGCGGCGACGCCTCGAGCGTTAGTAAAAACGCTTTCTTCCAACAACATTCTTCTTAGGCATACTAGACCACCTTTGCATTGCGGTACGTATTACACGGGATATGCAATTTCTAGCTGGACACGTGAACAGTACGTCCAAATGCAAATATTATATACAGAATAATGAAATGGTAAAAATTCATACAACATTCTATCAGATAGAATTCCAATATATTTGGATTGTAAAAAGCATAGAAAATATCATACATTAGATGTAGGACATTTCTCTTTTTATACGTATAGCATAGAATATAAACTTTGTTTGCCGTTTAGCTTAAGATATTAAGCACATGTGTGTTTTGGTAATAAAATCTAAATATAACTTGCTAATTACATTGTTAAATATTTTAACGTAATAATTTAAAGCCATTAATGACACGATTGACTTTATTATTTCGGAATTAATCTTTTGTAACGAGATAAACGATTCGTGTTAACCAATACTTTTCAAATTTTATTACAGCATTTATGTGATAATTAATGTAATATATGAGTCATACTGCGTAAAAAGAAATTATTGATGTCTGACATATTTTCGACAGGTTCACGACGATGCTTCTCGCTTGTCCCGATTATCTCGCACACTTACGTATGCAAAAGCGAAGAAAGAATGGACGAGGCCCAAATTTCCAGAATGTGTTAATTTTCATATAAACACACACTCTCGAAAGAATTCTACCGGCATCTTAAAAATTCCAGTCTTATTACCAACTTTCATATATATCACTTATTAAAGCTGCTTGAGAATTTATTATTATCTTGAGAGAAAGACAATAAAAAGCTTGATGAGAAACGATTGCTCAGCATATTCAGCCGCAAACATTGCATTAACTAAGTAGAAAGCGTATGTGAATTAACATTTAAAAGAACCAGTTAAATGCCCAATAATGCATTCATTATAGTTTCTACAAATAGCCGTAAACTATGTTTAATTAACCCACGTTACAACCTTTCGCGCGAGTAAAGAAGAAAAAGGACGATGCGGTGAAGGAGATAGCCGAGCAAATAATGCGACTTCTGCGTCTGATTAGACGTCGTACTCTCACTACTGAAAACCTCGATTCGCGAGAACGCCAATAAACCGTGTATGCGTCCCGACACGCTCGTATCGCGTCTGGACAAGCGGCAATATAATCAGCGATAGCTTAAGTAGCTCAACTAGCTTCCTCGTCGACGGTGACAATCGTCGTTGCAGTTCGAGGAGAAAAGCTTTAAAATTATGGTACTCTCTCCTTGTAGATGGGTCCTTGCGTGCGGACACGTTCGGCATGAATGAAAGAAAACTGGTGTAGATCAGGTTCAAACATCCCGGATCCGACCTTCATCGCGACGCACGCGGCCACCACTTTCTATTCTGACCCTGTGACTCTCACGGGCCGGCGGATAACGCCTCTTGTCATTTTCATTTCGTTCCTTCGGCAGTGGGCAGGGCGGGGACAACGGTATGCACGAAAATCTGCGTATTCAGTGGGCGTGTATCTATGTGGCGGCGTGGATTCGATTTTCGAGAAAGTGAAATCATCAGTAGTCTGTGAATGAGACTGCTGACGCGGCGAGAACGCACCGCTTGATGAATGGCCGAAATTTTGCGGAAACATAGCCGGAAACATGTGTAAGAAATACGAAATATTTCATTCACACCTCTTGAGAAAGCATAGAAAAAAAGTATTACGAATAGAAAACAGGATTATCTTATCTTGAGAATATCGTACGGTAGTGCATTACATCTTTTATAATTTGCTTCTTACAAGGTCTTTTTTTTTTAATTCTTAAAAGCTTGGAGAGAAAAATTTTATATTTTAAAATAAAACATTTTACATACTCTTTTTTCGGATTGAACGTATTATGCTGTTCGATGAAACGGAAATTAAGGATAAATATTTTCATTAAACAAATTACGCCGACTTTCGCTCTTATCGCGTAAATCCTTATTAAAATACTTGTGGAAAGAGAAAAAGGAGACTTCACTACTTTTTTTATTACAACCTTATGAAATTTGCTCGTAACATTTACTTTTCTTCATTATTTACATATTACAACCATTACTTTTCTTTGTTTGATTTGATTATGTTAAATTGTTGCAAGCAGAAAAAAAGGAAATGAGATAGTTGCATGACGTCCGTTTTCCGCTGTTCCGCTGACTAGAGATCACACGCCTTCTTTTGTTAATCCACGTATGTGTAAAGAAATACTCTCTTGAACTCTCTCGGCCGATGAATCTTCTCGTAAGAATAAGAATATAAAAGGATTTAATGATGAGCAAGTTTAGCAACAGCACGCAGTTCCTACCTTACGTCAGTACTCATTCATCCTTTCTCGGTCATTGGGTAGCGTTCAGAATCCTTTCGTCGATCCTTCATTCCCATCGGAAGAGCAAGCCTTAAAAAGTAAAACCAAAGTTTCTCCTTTACGCTCAACGACAGTAACGATCGTTAAGCCGCAGACACGCCTGTTGCGGTAAAATCACTGTTCTGCGTGAAGAGTACCGACAATTTAAATCAAAGGTATCATTTCCTTCAGTCAAACGGGAATTAAGAACGGATCTTTTCATTAAACAAATTGCGCCGACTCTCGCTCTTATCGCGTAGATTATTATTAAAATGTGCTTGCTAGAAGAGAGAAAAACTTGACTTTTTCTCATATCGCATCAAAGACTCAACAAAGTGTGTTAAGGATATTTTATATATGAAAGATATACAGTATGTAATTATTTGCTATTTATTATAATTATATTGCTTTATCTGTAAAGTTTAGAAAATTTATAATCGAATTTAATCTCTATTCTAAATATTTATCCTATTCGTAACTTTATTTTTATAATAATAAATTATTTTACGCTAATTAAATTAGTAACTAATTGGCGATAAAGTATTTTTTTACAGTCGAATAAATTTAATATTAACAATATAAATATCTTCTAGCTTTAAAATCATGGACTTTTTAATAAAAATTAAAATATTGTTAATATTAATTTTATTTAGTTATGAGAGGTGCATATTTTCTCTATAAGAACTGTTTTAAACCTACAAATTCAACATAGAAGTTTTTCTACTTTATTCTTGAATATATATGTCGAAGACATTGACCAACTTTCGAAGGTCGTGGAATTTTTCCAGACCAATATGTCAATGAGTCAAGATGGTCTCACGATATCTAGAATATTCTGTGAATAAAGAGCCATCCACAAAAATATCTTCCCGATTTAGGGCAACAAATATCTCTATGATCAACGCTCGTGACTAATTTCTCGTTCTAAATCAAGAAAGAGATACGTATAGTACTCGATATTCTAGTCTTCGGACTTGTCAGTAACCGGTTTAATGTCTGTCGATCGACTGTGCTAGGAATTTCTGATGCAATGTCCGATCGATTCTACAATGCTGCTTGGCCATTGACACGCAGCGTACGACCTGAAAAATCGAACGATAGCCAAGCACCTCAGATTTGCATTTTAAATTTTCTTACGAGGTTTGTAATGAGTGTGGAATGTAACGGGGTACTCTTCCACGTCTGACTGGTTCTTCTTTCCTATGGACCGCGATGCGGTGACTGTGCTAGAAAACGCGGTGTTAATTCTTTCATTGTCTGCTGGACATTGTAGCGCTGAAATCACATTTCACATTTCATATTGTTGACGAAGGAACTCGGGCTTTTGATAAGACAGAAAACTATCTTATTAAAATCGATATTACATGTAGCCGAAGGTAATGCTAATCAACAAGTTATCTGGTGGACTATAGAGCAGAGCAAAAGACAGATAGATAGATCGCCGATAGATATATCGCTCATTTATTTCTTTATAAAGAATTATAGTTCTTTAAAAAAAAAAAAAATCTGAAATTCTCGCTGAATCATCTCGCTGATTTACGATCAAAAGAAAGAAAATGAATGGCGCACTTCCATTGATCATCGTGCTTCGCAGTAATTACTATTCATTGCTACTTTCATTGTTATTAAACATAATAGACACGATGATTCAATTATTCATGCGTGACATAACGCATTTACCCTCATTCTTTCAATTCTCGTCATGAAAGTAGTGCTACAACTGTCTACATGTTGTTCAACATTAAATATAATAAAGATATAAGAATAAATATTCTCAGTAATAAAATAATTTGTAAAGTCAATTCGAATTTGCAACTCGACGAATTCTGAACGAATTCCTCCCGCATTTTACATGAATAAGATCGCAGCGAGCTGCATCGCAGCAGACTGCACTCGCAGCGAAGCGACCGGCTCCGCTCGGTGCTGCGCCGCCGTCTGAGCCACCGCCAACGCGGGTCTCCACATTTTATGATATTCGAAACGTAAAAAAGGAAACGATCGGTATGTATGTCAGTAGGTCCCTCAGCCGACGCTCTTCCTTCCCCTTCCGCGCGGCGAGAGAAGGAGCTGGGGGTTGCAGTGGGAGGAATCCAAGACCGAGAAGCGGTCGAGAGATGTGGACGGAGAGAAAGAGCCGAGAGCGTTCTTCTCTCGTCCTCTCGCTCGCGACCGGGCCTTTCTTTCGCCTCTCCTTTGCCTCTTTCTCTTCCTCGGCGTCTTTTCTTCCGTCGAACTCTCCAATCCGCTTCGCTTCGAGATACACGCGGGAACGCCGCGGATAAAAACGGACACCGATCTGCGTCCGCAGACGCATTCTCGCAATTCATTTTTGCAGCTGAAAAAGGCCCGAAATTCGTCCCATCGAAACTCACGACGAATTTCTACGTACGAATTACACGACAGAGTAGCGCTGCATTCCGAAAACTAGCATGGATCTATCGGAAAACTCGTGAAATATGCGCGAATAAGTATATGCAAAGCGCATAATAGAGCTGCATTATTAATCGTATTCGTTGCGCGCCGTCGCGACATCGCCGTATGTCATTGAAAGTTACACGCTCAACTTTCGGTACGCTATTGCCATTAATCCACTTAGGTGACATCCGCGCGCACCGACTATTATTAGCCCCGCATTGTGCGGTTGCGCGTCGTGACGAACGTTAGTTCGGTAAACGCAACCGCACGCAGGTGAATATGCAACATGAGGCACGGCACAGGTCGCTGGCACACTTTCCTCATTGGCGCGATTCGTTACCCCGTTCTTGCGATTTTCCAATGCTCCGTGCGCGAGCAAAGTAGCGAGATCGTGGCGGACGCGCGCCAGCGAACCACATCGCTTCATTTGCAAGCTTGTTGCTCTAAATGTCTCATTAATTTCGCGCAATTAATAACGTTACGCTGGCGCGTCCAAAAATTGCGCACTAAACGATGGATAAACTAACACCTTGTGCTAAAACCAATTTTATGACTTACTTAGCGCTCAACAATGTTGAAATTATGAGATCCCATTTTTGCACCGTCAAATATCATCGAGTCTCGATGTCGAACGATCGAAAAGTGGTAATAAACGTAAACACAATGTTTTCGTACCAAGCACGTATGCTTTATTAACATGTGTTGCACAACAATAAATATGTGTGTAAAAAAAATAAATAAATAAAAAAAAGTCAAACAACGTACTTTGGTTTCTTCGGTCTGTGATCTTTCACTCCTGAGAGAGTCCTATCGGAATGGTGGGCCAAAAGGGATCGATTACCACATTTCCCGCGGACGAACATTTGTTGAACATCACTTTCTACCTAGCTGTCAATCAGTTTCTCGGTCACTGTCGTCTCGTCGATGTCACTGTCACTGATCTCGCGTCGCGTCGCGTCGTCGGTCATTTTCCTGGCGCCCATTAACCCTCCTACCGCGACTGACGTCTGCAGTTTTACACAGCTGAGAAGAAATGAAAGCCACGTTGAAAAACGCACGTTGCGTTGGATGAATGAAACGACGATGACAATGATGATGCGACTGCAATGTAAATTACGTGAACGGGAATGCCCAACGTGCCGCGTGTCAACGTGATTGTATCGGTCTAGTCGTATCTAAGAATATCTTTAACAGGCGATAGGAGAGTTGAGAAGCTCGAGGATCGGTTCAAGGTCGCGATTGATACTGCGATTAATAAGAGAGATCAAGATGCCCGTAAGTTTGCGTAAAGGTTGGCGTATCCTCTGTAGGGTAATTGCGCGGAGTCGTCGTCGCCGGTCGATCTCTTGCGATGATGATGGCCGACTTCCTGCGCGTAAACGACGTGATGGCCGTGATCTTCACCGCCGCCCGCCAACTTCTTCACGGCTACGATCAGGGACAGCATCAGGGCCATGGCCGAAACCGTCAGCGCCTTCATGGCCAGCAGACCCAGCGCACCGAAGCCCATAGCGGCCATCATTTTACCTAGGTGCGTTAAGAAACCGTGAATTTTAAATTAATACGGAATTTAATTATAGCTGATGTGTGATATAAGCTTACATCGAGAACGTAATGACTGCGTAACACAGTGATACACTGTGTTATTTACACTGCATTATTTTAATGATTAAATATAATTGAATAAGTTAAAAATATAAATTGACCATTAATAAACTTGTAAACATTTACCACATTTGCGAAAGGTAATAAATAAAATCAAATACAAGAGTAAACTAATAAAATTTAGCGTGTAAAAGTGATAAATATTACTTTAGTCTGCAATATATATTTTAACAAAATATGTAGAGTTTTACTGTTATTTTTTATTTTATTTAATTTATAAATTAATATAAATATTTTTTTATTCAAATCTATAATATTCACTTTAAATGCTTTAACAAAATGTGCAGACTTTCTATTATTTTAGTTTTATTTTATTCACAAGTTTGTGCAGTTTAATTTATAATAAAATTGTTTGATTTAATTTATAAAAAGGAAGCAAAACGTATTAAAGATATGCTTAGGTGTTAAATAACGCGTAACGATTACGTTCACATCTGACTTAACGAGCCATCTATTTATGCAATACTAATTATTCACGAGCGCTTACCCATCATAAGAGCCAGTATAATCATACCGCCGCCGCCTTTCTTGCCGCCGCCGCCACCGCCCTTACCGCCGCCGAAACCGCCGCCGCCTCCGCCAAATCCTCCTCCATCCTTTCTCGCTGCAAAATACAAATTCTCAGAAGCTCAGAGAAATTCTCGCGAATTTGCGATATTATTCACGTCGTTAATTACCAACCTTCAAATTCGGAAGGCAAGCTCTCCTTCAAGGCGCTCTCGATATTCGGAGGAAGTAGAGACGGCAGTTTGATCCTCAGTTCTCTACCTTCCAAAAATTGTAGGAAAGGTCCGAGGCCTCCGAAGCCCTTCAACGCCTTGGACTTGCGATTCGAGCCGGGTACCTCGATCAAGCTCACGCCGTCGAACAGCTCGATGTTACGTTCCTTGCTAGTGGTGTCCAGCAGCTGTTGTACGATCTTACGGACGATTCGCACTCCGTGACAGGAAACCGACATGTTCTTGGAGTCCTCCGTCGCGCACGACGTGGAGAATCCCGTCCACGCGTCCTCCGCGGTGGCGGCGTCGATCGTGTCGACGATCGACAACGCGTAGATCACGAACGCCAGGCAGACGAGCTGACGTCGACGACCGATTCCCGGTATACCGCCTAACCAGAGCATCGTTTTGTCCGGAAACGAAGCGTCGCGATACGGAAACGTACAAGTTCCGTTGGGGACCCGCCGCGGATCTGCTTCCGCTTTTTTTCTTGCGTCGTTAGACCGTCACCACGTGACTAAGGAGAACCCCGCGTGCACACACGTAGCTGTGGAACCTACGGCGGAGGTTCGAGTGCTGCAGCGTTAGAGCTTGCAATTCGCGTTTATATAGATCTACGTGACGGTCGGTGATTGTACTAAGAAAAAAGCAAGGGGAGCATCGGATCGGTACGTTGGTCGCCGCTCGCTGCTCTTGCTGTGCATTAGCCGGCAATTTTTCGTTCGCATAGACGCCGGTCTCTTCAGCGATTCGTTTAATTCTTGTTTCCGACGCGTTTCAGAGCGTTACGGCGCGGTCGGCTTGCGAGAGCGAGCCTCCGCGATCGGCGCGGATGACGCCTTCTCGCGCCCGCCGGGGCCGCTCCCTTCCCGCAGCCTCTCCCGCTCAACTCTCCGCACCGCGTAATGCGCATGCATCCAGCGAGAGATCTGCAGCATCATTCTAGATCACGTGCCTATTCAGCTCCCGGATCATTCGATAACCGCGCGCGTGATCTCGTCTCGGATGCCGGCTGCTGCTCTCCTTCTCCTTTCTCTCTTTCCGTGCTTTAGTGGAGCGGAAGAGAACGTTCCGATTTCGAATCGTGATCACACTGTACGCACGTCTGGCTAAATGATACACGCAAGCATCCACGATATCGCTCGCGCTCATGCAAGAAAAACCAACGCGGAATTTCGCGCATCGCCGACGCCGGATCGTTGCCGATCTTATTTTCCAACAGGTAGTTAGTGTCAATGTACGTAGGACGTACGGGCAGACCCTCCCCTTTGCGCGTACCGGGGAATGCGAGAAATCCGAATGAGCACGGGAAGGGGCCGAGGAAGGAGGAAGAGAAAGAAAGAGACGACGACGACGACGACGACGACGACGACGACAACGGCGGCGGCGGCGGCGGCGCGGACGAGGATGACAAATGTGGATGAAAAGGAGAGAGATGATGAACCAAATCTAGTTCATCTCCATGTGCCTTTCTCTTCTGTTCCACTTCCCCTCGCATGCCCGACACCGCGGTATATACGTAGCAGAGCCTGGTAGGTATAACTACAGCCGGTTCGAAATCATTCTTCCGTTCCTCGGGACGACTCGATCGCATACGGACGATCGTGATACAAACCTCATCGACAAGGCTCGCTTAAGGCTCGATCTCAATCGATTCGAATTAGCGAAACCGCAGAACACGCTCTGTCGCGTGTACCTGCGAAATTCGCATGTGCACACGTAGCAGATTTAATTAGTCGCACATTCAGCTATGCTCTGCTTACTTTGAAGCACGCGAATTTACGACTGTGCATTTTTACGCGTAGTCTCCATTGTATTTCAGTCTGCTCGTCAAATTGCGGTTTATTGCGACTTTATCTCTTGCGATACGCAGTAGATCTGTATTGAGGAATTAACGGGCCGCAACAAATCGCGTTATCGTAACATTCTCTGAAGATTCTCTTTCTAACGCTCTTTCTAAACGCTATTCTCGAAGCATATTTATTTCATTTAACTCATCACACTCAATTTCATCGAAACTTGAACAAATGTCGATTACAAATAAAACATGCGGTAAATTCTAAAACTTGGGAAACTTCTAATCGAGGACGAATCTAATTTTTAATAGATAAATCGCTCGCATTCATGGAGAGAAAATTGTCGATATTAATTTATGCATCTCATTCACAAATTAGATGTGATAATTAAAAACATAAAGTAAGATTAATAGTCTTTAAAGCTTTATTGCTATATAAAAAATTAACACTTCATGTTATCATCAAGATAGTCAATTAGAAAGCCATTTGACACCTTAAAAGTAAAATTTATTGAATAAGACGGCATCGTAATAATTATGCGATAATAGGTCTTTCATAATAAAATTTTATCGATTTCACCACTCAAACTCGTGCCTTAATCTCTCTCTAATTTGCAGGCAATTGCGTTCCAAGTTAGCAAGAAATCAGGTTATAAACAAGCAAGCGTTCGACCCACATATCGGAAAGCACCGATTAATTCTAGATTCGTTGTTTGTCACGATTCTTCCCCGATATCGATAGCGATAATTACTTGTTGCGGCGACAGATAGTAAAAGATTCCAACAACAGTTTACAAATAACAGACAGTAACAGCGCGTAATGACAGTAATTGAGGCAAATGCGTTCGAAAACATATTTACCAGCGAGCAATCCGGTATATCAGCAATATCCGTATACGATCGAGGTTTCGGACACACCGGACTTCAATTTCTTTCTCCACACGTGCGAGCGCTTTTCGAAAAAAGGAGAAAGACGAAGGAACTAGGTCAAGTCCGCGATCCCCGGTACATCGGAAATCGAAAGTCCATTTCCTGAACAAGACGTACGGGTTCTCTCTTTCTGCCATACCGCGTATCCTATCTCGCGGATATCCCCTTTCCGCCTATCCTTGCCGATCAGGATGGAGAAAGCGGACGTACGAAAGGAGGTCGACTTATTTGAATGAGAAATACTTGGTGTATCACGTGGTCCAGGTAGTTTTCCCTTTGATCCGAAAGACGTGCTTTGTAATTCCATTCCAAAAATATATAAAAATTCTTCGTTTTCACTTCAGTGAAATTCTACAAATACGCGCCACAGTTACAAACATGTGTCCGCATTTAAAAAATATGCAAAAAAATTTAGAAAAATTGTAATTAGTCGATTTTGTTTGATACACAATGTGTTGTAAGTGCGAAAAAAGTCTTTCGCGGCTTTTAAATGCTCAGCTGCATATTACGAGAGCTTGCGGCAACACGCCTGCGAAACGCAGATACACATTACGCCATATACAATGAGTTAATTAAAATAATCACACCTTTAGCGTTAAAATCCCGCAAGAATTGTAAAGCGGAACACCGCACATGACGATTACTTACATATCTTCAATGACTTCATTGTTGGAAAAAATGCACGTGCTTTATGTAAGAATCTCACGTAATAAAAAATATTGGCTTTTTATTAAACGCTACAGAACAGAAATTATTGTTAAAATTACGATTAAATTATAAATTAAAATTATTATTATTATTAAATTAATTATTAACTTTAATTTCCATGATAAATCCATTTAATTTCCAACCTAAAGTTAATTTTTTTACAAGCAATAATTTTATCAAATATTATATTTTTATTTGTTTAGTTTTTAATTAATTTAATTAATTTAATTGTTTATTTTGTAATTATTAATTTTGATACTATATTAATAATTAAAATGTATTTTATTAAGTTAACCTTGAAATTTTCTATTGTCGCATAGTCACAACTTTATTTTATCATAACAAAACTAACGAAATGCACCGCCTAGATGTGAAATGGCGAAACTTTTATTCTCGCGTCTACGCAATGTTTCGCTTTATCCGGTCTAGAAGTTGTCTTAAATAGACTACAACTAACGATCGTGACTAAAATGCTTACCGCATATAGTAATGCTTGTATCGTTCGTAAAGACTTATGTTTAGCCGATGCGTAGTCGAGCATATCCGTCTCGGTTTACTCGAAAGTTGTTTCACCGGAGACATCGGCTATTAAAAAAGGAGGACACTCTTAAGCTTAACGTTAAATTATATTTTTTTGACTGTTTTATTTATAAATAAGTGTTAAAATTATGAAAAAGGATGCTAATTCCAGTTTTTCTTTTCAAATATTACAGCTCAATAAAATGCCTTTTCTCTTTTATCATATATAGACGAAAATTAGACATATACAAAATTACATTATTAACATAAGAGAGATATAAAAATTAAAGAATTATTCTATCTGCTCGAAATATCTTTATAGTTATAAATACAGCAGATGCAAAAGTAGTTCTATAAAAATAAATAAATAAATAAATATTTATTAATTTATATAAAGAGCAATGTAAAAAATATTATCATACACTTTGCACTAATCGTTATGCACTTCAATCAGACATCATAAATTATATATAAAAGCATATTAATATAAATACAGCATAGTTACACCCGCTTTAGTCTAAAGTGTCTAAAGTTATGTATTTTTTGTTATTTTGGTATCATGCGTCCGAGTTTTTTGTCTCTCTGTCAAAAAACTACTTATATAAACTCGTCAGTCTGTTTTGTCAAGCAGATCACACTACAAGACTCTCTGTTAAAAATAAAATATTTCTATTCACGATTTTTAGATAGTTTAGACTATTTTACCGGTTTACTAATTTTTACTGATTTGTGCATATGATTTTATGACACTTCACAATTTATCATAGTCTAAACTTACATAAAAGTTTCTAAGAACTCAAGAATTAAAAAAAGTTCTTGAATTTGGTATCACACCCTTTTTTATAATAATTTTGTCTCAAAATCGAACATACAAATGTTTTCGCGTGCATTTAACGTAAAAAATGAATAGCTTTGGTCTAGAGATATAAAATCTTCAATTTTTGCAAGTAATCGCACAAATATAAATAGATAATAAATAATAAAGTACAAATAATAACATTAGTAATGAATAAATATTAAAAAAATAGGACGCAAGTTCATACATCGCCTCAGAAACAATGCTAATTACAGTCGTCTAAGAATTTGATTTGTCCAAAATAAAGTTTGTATTCAATGTTGACATAAAATGACAGTCAGACACTGCTACATTTAGCTTCGAGTATGCGGCGAGAATACAAAGCAAAAATAGGATAATCACATTTGACGTTTAATGCACGGTGTGAACTTAACGGTGTGTAAACTTAAACTTCGCGAGAAATTATATCACAGGTCCCAAAGTATATATATTAAAAACGAAAAACGAATTATAAAAACGCTGGCTTATAATCTGAGATGATGAGATGTAATGATGAGAGTTTCGTAGTATCCGCTATTATTCGTAAGTAGAGTCACGAAAGTAGGTAAGAGTCTTATGATGCGTATCCTTTGCACGCATCTAAGAGGCTCCTATCAACCTGCCTACACGTTTGTAATCCATAATATGACGTCTTGATCGTCGTCGTTACCATAAATACGTGCGTCGTTGTGTGTCAGTGACATGTTCGAGTCCGTCGTTCGGAAATTCAGGCATGACAGTAATGGAGAAGGCATTGAGGACGATGGTGGAGGGTGAGAGAAGGAGGAAGACGAAAAGAGGTGAAGTGGAAAGTGCAATAAATATTCTCTGCTGAATGAATCTAGGGAAGGTTCGGCAATGCGATCGGTACGGATCCGAGGACGTCGAACTTTTCGTTTCGATCTCGGGCGATTCCGGGATTCCGGCTGACGGAAATTGGTTTACTTCATATGCGCCGAATAGGCCAGCTCGTGGGCGTCCGGCTGACCAGCAACCGCTTCCTCGCGGAAACTCCTTGCCCATCCGCTGGAGTAACTATCGTGACCGTGTTCGTGGCCGCCCCCGCCCCCGCCCCCGTGATGAGGATGCGCCACGACCTCGTAAGTCACGTGCTTCCCTTGCGAGAAGAGTTTCTTCAGGCCTATGATACCGGCCAGCAGAAGGGCGATCTTCGATAGTAGAAGAGCCTTGCCGACCAGGAGGGCGAGCGCTTTGAACGCGAGACCGCCAATGAGGCCGATTTTCAAGGCAGCCGCGGCGACCATCATGCTCATGTTGTTCTTCTTTCCGCGGCCTGCAAGAGAGACGTAGCGGTTAAAGTATCGCGATGACTATTGTCACTTTCGGCGAGTTAACTGAGAAGAAAACGAACAAGTGTCTATCGGCGTATAATTATACTTTCCACGAAGAAAGCTGTAAAGTTCGGTGATGAGCAGATGAATGAGCTAAAAACGAAAGCTATTTGTTTATGCAGCCGGTGACACAACGCCACACGCGCGAATATAGCGAAAATGAAAATCAGACTAACGCATCATTTAAATGCAGAGCGTTTGAAATTATCTGATATTCTCTTGCCGATATTTTACTCACTGATTATTTTTTTTTAACAAGAATATCCACGCATCGCGTAATTTAATAATTAAAATAATAATTGGTAATTAAAATATGGAATGAATACTAATTAAAAGAAAGGAAATGTTGCAAATAGATCAATTATATAATTAATTAGCAATTAAAAGAAATATCGTAAAAATTAAACTGCAAATATTTTAAATGGCTTTTACTTTAATAGAAAATAATTTGAAAATTATTTAACAACCCGAGAAAAAAATGGTGTAATATGGTCAGATGTAAATATATATAATTAGTTATGAAAAGATCTAATAACATATGTAATTTTATTTGATTATATAAAATTCAGATCTTTTCATAACTAATTGTATATATTTACATCTGACCAATTATACCATTTTTTCTCGGGAAGCGAATTTAATATTTAATTAAATTTTTACAAAGAAAAATAAATTAATTTTGAACGCGTTTACCGTAATTTATAAAAAAAAAACACACTTTACATTTAACTAAATGTGTATTAGTCTGCGACAATTCTTGAAAAAAAATGCGTCACTATAATTACCATCTTGAAGAGGCTTATCGGAGCGCTCAATCGACAGACCCAGATTTAACGAACCGGTCTCATCCTCCGACGCAGACACGACGATGTCGTCCTCGGGTAGAATTCGCCACTTGATGCTTCTCGATTTGACGAAGGCGTAAATTTTGTTCGCGACGAGATCAAGGACCTGAGTCTCATCGTCCTTGCTCCTGCCAGCCTCGAACGTGATCACATCCTCTGACGTTTGGCTCGTCTTCTTGATCTCGATGTCGTCTGTGAGCTCGATCGAGGCCTTCTTCAACAGTTTGTTCATATACGTCACCAGTTTTAACATCACACAACTGCTGATGTCGTTCTGGGAGCATTTCGAGTTGAGCTTGCGAAGAAGTTCCTCCTCGTACTTGGCTCGGTCTGTTATCGTCACGGACTGCTGCTCGGCGACGCTTATCTTCTCTTTCTTCTCCTCCTTCAGAGGATTGGCCAAACACATACTCAGGCCGAATAACACCAATACGAGAATCGCCTTCATGATGCTCATCCGCTGAAACATTCCGCGACGTTAATGTCAATTGACTCTCGAAAGATTATGACGGAAGGATCGATTAATCTCAGAAGCCAAAATATATTCTAAAGTATTCTCAAAGATACATCTTGACATTTGACCGATTGAAGCTGAAATTGAAGCCGAAGAAGCAATTAAAGTTCTGAGAGAGATAAGATCTATATTGTCTGTGCAAAATAAAATTCAATACATTGAAATAAAAACGACTTCCAAGTGAGTGTAATGATTAACGCACGGTGAGATCAACGCTGATAACACGTAAGGCAAGATGTAACTGTCGGTGCGTCGTGCCTTCGAGCGATGTATGTATGTGTGTGTGTGTGTGTGTATTCTCCGACGATGCACGAATCGTGTGGATTCAAGAATAACGGAAATGATAAATTGACCCACCTGTTGGGCCTGAAGCCACGAAAGCTACAGGGACACGAGGAAAGGGAGACGAGGTGTGCGGGCTGCGACTTTTCTGCCGGTTCGCCGATTAGCTGGCCGATCACGGTGTCGCGCGGAGTGCCCTTCGACGCTTCTTCTAACCGTCAAATCCCGACACGTGGAGCAGTGCGAGGCTTCTAAACCCGTCGTCTCGCCCCGGCGACTTTATATACGTAGATCACCGGCTCAGTTAGGTACCGAGATGTATATACACTTCGTCGCCGGCGCGACCCACCACCTCTCACGCCAAGTGGATAGAGGCCCCCTATGATGAGATACGATGGCGCGGACGGCGGGTGGCGATGGCTAAGGACGAATAGTAGCGGTGCCCACTTTTGCCTTTGATACGGCCTTTGAGAATACGGCCGCGACGGGCCCGGTCGCGGTGGTGGGACGGAATCGCGCATGAACCGCTCTGTGCGCGTCGCGATCTCGTGGAGAGGATCGACCCGATCGCGCGAAGCCGATGTAGCCTGCCGTCTTTTGCGCACAAACGCGCAGCAAAGAGAGCAATATGCCGTTCACGCCTCCCCCGAGGGGGAGGAGAACGCATCGTGTGCTGATACACAAACTGGTTCTCGGAGTACGTACGCCGGTCGTATAAACACCGGTGTATTGCTCGCGCGAGTAGCGGCTCATCGCACCTTGTGTAAGTGATTGCGGCGCGTACGCCGCCGCGATTCATGAAACGACCGCACATGAACACGCGAGAGACCCGACTCTACGTCGGTTCTCTACGTGTGGTGGACCATTATCGAGACCTGCCGCGAGAACCGTGTCACGGATGTAGAACACGCATGCCGCGGCTCGCCCGAATGCGTGGGCAACCTTATACGCGAGCGTGCGACGAACTCGCATAGCACGTTAATCTTCCGGGCTCTCTACGCACTCGTGGACTTTTAGGGTAGAGAGGTGATCATCCGCGGCGCGGAGGAAAGCCGAAGGTGCCGAGAAAGCTGCGATAAACGAGTGCGATTCGAGGAAGTTACTGGAGCAGAGGAGTCCGGCGAGAAGACGTCCAGCGCTTTAATGCCTCATTTATCTAATTAGCTAATTTTCCAGAAATTGTAGCCAGTTGATGAGCAGCCGTGCAGTTGTATCGTCAGATTAACATACTTCGGCACGGCCGCAGATCGGCGCTAATCGATGCGCACGATGCATCCATACGCTTGTTCTAGAATGACAGAAATTCAGGATATGGAGGAGAAATTCTCTCGCGTGTATCGGTACATTCGCAATGCTCGTAAGTGCACTTAAGTATAGACAACATCTGTGTAATCGCACGCTATTTTGACACATCGAGCGATCCTCAGATGCGATAGATTACATTACTTCCGTTGTTCCCGATATTAGATCCTTATTGAAACGTGCTCGCGTACGTGCTCGCTCGCCATTCATTAACTCGCCCGCAAATCTGCCTACGTCATTTGTTTGCAAAACGAAATCAAAGTGTGTGTGTGTGTATGCGCGCGCGCGTAGAAAGCAGCGGTGCATCACAAAAGTCTCGAAGAAAGTAAAGAGTGGCGATGAGGCGATTATGTGAAGGTATCGTCATTCACGATTTATCACATTGCGTGTCACGTGTATTTATAGCGGATAAACACGCTAAGTTTTGCTTAGACATCATTCAGCGTCAACTTTCGATAAGTACTATTATCAAACTTATAACAATCATCATTAGCTAATTTACGTAGAACAAGTTGTGCCGTATAAAATATATAAGAACAAAATTATGAATAAATTATTCTAGAAAGTAATGCGATATACAAACGATACAATTTATAACTTATTTGATCATTAAACTAGCTATTGCAGCTTCAAGCGACTGGCAAGAGTTGCATGATTTCAAGTTGCTAAAAAAAAAATCTCATTATACTGACGATTAACTAAGTTGTACACGCGTTATCCTTCAACTAACGAGAAGCTTTGATCTTAACAAGACAAGTAATTAAATTATGTAGAAAATAATCTTTCATCGTACCTGTCCGACAAAATACATCCATCAACATCTTCGCGTAGAGTCGCGGTGTGAAGCTGTACGATCCTAGTTGAAATATTGATATCGATTTACATCTATTTTATAATGACTTATTCACTATTCATAAAAGCTAATTAAATTGGCCTGTGAATTTTTTAGCGTTGTCCAACGAATTTATTGCAGTAATAAATATATCGTTAAAATTCCAAAAAGTAAATAATGCGAAACGCACATTCCGCTATCAGATCAATCTTAATTTCAAAATAATTACACAAAACATTAAACACTAAAGCAATTTCTATAACATCGCCCATTCAAATTCGCGTTGCATGTTCAAATTATTAAGTTTTATTCAATTATTTCTATTAATTTGTATTTTTTTCTTACATCTAATAATTTACTTGTAAAAAAATGAAACACAAGGTAACTCCACTCCACAGTAATCCGTTCTAATGCGTCTTTGTAAAACGCCATTTCCAAGGCTATATAGCCTAAAGTACCTTTCTTATATTATATAGGTATGCAGATAAATATTATCTGATGGATAATGAGGCGTGGGGGAGATCGAGGAAAATGACGTCCGCTTCTCTCGCTTCTGAATTTAGCCCATTTTCTTGTAAAAGCGACTTTCGCGGTACAGAGGTGAACGTTGCAATCTAGCCGCGAAAGCTCGTTCATGTACGCGTTAACCGATCTTTCTTCGCGTGGACCGCTCGATCGTGAGATCGAGGTGCTCGTGCAAAATGAGCGTTTTGGTACTTCATGCACCGTTACATCGAATTCCGAGCGGGCCTTTCGTTACTACAGTATATTAAATGTATACTTTATTCACACATCCGAATGAAGTGTTGCTATGACATAATACGCAGATATAACTATACTTTACACAAAGTAAAACTAAATCGCTAAATTTTTTTATAAAAAGTTATAACTTGAGTTCTTTTTTTCATTTAAATTCAGTACGTAATTTACACAAATTTTATAAACAATGGATACTGAATATGCCGCAAAAATTTGAGGTAGGTAACTCGATAAAATATACATAATCTAGTGCATATGGCTTGCAATATGGGATCGCACTTTGCGTACACATGTAGTTCTTCAGAGCACGTCATTCACCTGAATCCCACACTGGATCATAATGCGCGATACTAGATAGAACCGTTGTGCGATGGTAAATAAGATAAGACGGTTCAAGGAGAAAAAGAGCACAGCGTCGCTAACAATCAGATCACTTTAATATATTGTCTGTTATTTAGTGCGTATAACTGTATAATATCTGCATTATTTAATCCAGAAAATACAATTATAAAATACAATTATAAAATACAATTATAAAATACAATTATAAAATACTAAAACACAAAATACATAACTCAGTCAATGCGAGTTATATATTTTATGAAAATTGAATTCGATGAAGTTCGAGAAAAATATATAGCAAAGTTTCTAAATTCATTTCTCATTTAAACTTCCTGTAATTTAGTAGAAAGTATAGAAAAGCCGAAAAGTCGAGCATCCCATTTTTATTCCCGGCGTCGCTTTCGCTGTACTGCGTTTAAGAAGCATAAGCACCAGTGTCCTTGGTGCATAATTCGAGGTATGCATATTTTCATACCTGAAAAAAATTTATATAATTATGACCGCACTATTTCACACGCATCATATTTTCCCCGCAGCAATGCAGTCAAATAATCATATTGTGGTGCCGTAGTTTGTACTTCCTTTCACTCCCGCGGTCATTATAAGTGTAAAACAATTATAATAATAATCTTTATTATGAAATAGTTATCGTCTTGACATATCGCACATTGTACTTGAAAATTCTTCAGATGACATAAAAAATATCTTTTTATCGACGAGTTCTTAATATTACAAATTCACAAACACAACATGAAATTATTTAAGTGCAATTTAATTACAATTATTTTTATAATAGTTTTATTATATTTAAAAGAAATGTAGCATACTGCAATGTCTTTATCAATTTAAAAAAAAATGTTTGTCATTATTATTTAATACGAATTTGTATGAAAATAATGCGCAATACGTTGTAATCGTGCACATATTTTCTCATTTCTCTTATTTATAAGTATAAAAAAATTAATTTAATGTTATGCAGCTGATAGATTATAAAATCGATGCGATTTCCGTCGAATTGCTTTCTGTATATCGTCGCGGAACGGCCGCTTCCGGTCTTCTCGACAAACGAGGCCACTTGGTCAGCGGGTCCGTTCCATCCGATTCTCTGGATCGCGAGTGAGAATCGTATCAGACCGGTTTGCGTATTAGATAGTTCCTCGTTGTACACATTCTTGAGATAAAACTGGTATAACACTGTTAGTAGAATTTTCATTATGATTTCATCACGATTAGAGATGCATATTTCAACTATAAATATTATAAGTATCTTTGAGTGATCATGCAATCGGAAATACGATTGATATTCTCACATTAGATGACACTATCTTTCAATAAGACTAAAAAATGCCATAAATTGCACAAACTCCAAAAAAGAACCTTGTCATTGTTGAAATAATAATATAAATGTAATAAACACTTACTGCACATTCTAATAAAGTTTATAATTTCTATAAATTTTTTATTTATTTAATATTTTTAATTATTTTTTTAATCATTCTTTATAAAATTTCGAAGACACAAATCACAAATTAAAAAAAGAATATTTGTTTTTCATATACATTTATAATTAAATAAACAATATACTTTCTATTTTAGCAATTTTCAACAAATTATAAATAAAAATATAAACGATTTAATAATTATTTTTAACTAATAAATAAAAACTTAATACAATCATATAACACTCAAATTTTGACTCTTCAAAATATTAAGCTTCAAGAACAAAGCAAGTGAGCGAGAAGTGAACGAGTAAAATAATTTATTCAGATAATTTTAAGTACATTGATTCTCAAAATTGCATACAAAAATAAAATAAAAATAATAGACAGAAAAATAATATCAAATCCAATGCATTATTACACATAAATGTATAAAAAGAGATTCGAGCATTTTTGCATAGCATAAATACAAATTGAATATTTCTCAATATCCTTTCAATACTCACAAATATTAAGCACTAAGTATAAATAACATAAAATAAATTAATAAAAAGTAGATTTCTGTGTTACAGTAAACATAAATTAAAATTAAAACAAACTTGTTTCATATTTATAATTTTTATTTAAAAACAAACATTTATATTTGCACATTCATACTTCAACTATATGTACAACACATTGAATTTATTTAAATACATTTACAATTACGAGATAAAGTCTTTAAAAAAATAAAGAAATTGTTTTAAAAGATTTGATTCCTTAAATCTCTTTAGTTTTTTACTTTTTCTCGTATAATGAATAGAAAAGTTATATAAGTTATACATATAAGTTATGTAAGTTCTAATCACTTAGTTTGATATCACTAATCACTGAGTTCAATAATAAATTTAATTTAATTTAAATTAATTTAATTTTATTTTATTAATTTTAAAAAATGAGAAAAATAAACATTTATTTTATAAATGATATTTATCATTATATGAAATTGTTTTGCTATTAATTTATGTTGTATTGTTTTTTTAATAAAAATAATGTAATAAATAAAGCAGAGATTATCACTGATAATGCTGATAACCGCGATATGCCAAATCCTGACCATAAGATCCCGCATTTCCGTAATAATTTTCATTATTAATATCCGGATGTGCTCCGTAAGGACTGTGAGGATAAGCGATTCCATTTTTGTTATAAACTGGCATGTAACTGGCATGCTGATACGGTTTATAAAGCTTGAGGAAACCTATTACTCCGGGTATAACAATCGCCAAGAATCCGAGGAATTTTTTGAACGAAACCAATCCCAATATCAGAGGCAAGAAAAGTAATAATTTCAGTTTGAAGAGCTTCAAAACGAGTAGCATTGGTATGAAGAGTTTTCTCAATTTATGCCGAGCTGAAACAAACATAAAGTGCGTCTTAGTAAACAATAGATAATTATATGCATTAAAAATTATTCAATAAATTTAATAACACTAATTTAATTTTTTATCATTTTCGAAAAAACATGGAACATTTCAATGATTGTCCAACAAAATTTATTTTTAGATCTTTTAGCAAAAGTGTTCTTTCCATGTATCGAACAAAATTAAATCAAAATAATATTTAGTGCTTACTTCTTTAGAAATATAATTAAACGGACAAATTATATTTTATTACATTTATTTATAATTGTACTATAAATGCTGTCTCATATACAAAGATGTTCAAAGAAACCATACACTGTAAAAAAAATTGTGTCAATTTGCACAACTAAGACGTAAAAATTACATGATAAATGACGGAAATATACTAAATAAATAGTGTAAAATTTATGAAATTATCTAAATTTACATTATATACTTAATAAATTTCTGTTATTTATCTTGTAATTTTCACATCTTAGTCGTGTAAATTTACACGACTAATTTTTTTACAGTGTAGCTAATAGCAAACAGGAAAAATGGACATTTTATCCACATTAATTTAATATGCATTTAACTAAAAAAAAATGATAAAAAATCACATTAATAAAGAAGGCAGCCTTTAGTAACATTATATTGTATTGACATTGTATTGACATTGTATTGAAGAGGATCACAACGCGATGATCAAAACGTTATGTCACAATATATAAACAACATAAAATACAGAACACTTACTATAATAAAACCAAGTATTGGCCTCGAAGCCCATTTTTTCCTTGTTTACACATATTTTTCCTTGTTATAATTTAAAAAAAAATACTTACAAAATAATGTATCTTTCTTGTTCTCAAGTGTATCGATCTCATCAGCGATTTCATCCAAAAATCTTGCCTCGTACGCCCCATTGCGACCAGTCTCCGTATCAGGTATGGTCAATTCGAAAGACATTGTTTTAACAAACTTTTCCGTTTTCCTTTTCATGAAGTTAACCATTTGATCCCATTCTGTTTCACTGGATCTGTCGAACATATTTTACTCTTAATTCGAAAAGTACATCTATACTTAACAATAATTTAATATGTTTTCCAATGTCACCAAACATTAAAAAAGAAACTAATATTGCACATGTTTGCATGAATAATAATATTATATAAATGACAATATACACTACTTTATACAAAATAGAGAAAACTTTTTAAACGCTCTAAATCGAGTAATTTTTCAACCGCTGAAATTTGATGAAAAATACAGACAAACTGTTAAAAAAGCATCTTGAAGCTTGAAGTTTGTACTTTCATACGTTGTAGACCGTTATTTTTTTTTTTTTATCTTCAAAGTAGTGCGGCTAAAAAAACGATTGTGAATCCGCGTCATTAATACGGCATCGTGCGTATTAATGGCGCGGACTCAGTCGGCCGCACTGTTTTCTCTACCGTATCGAGACATTCAGACGCTAGCAATTTTCAATGCTGTAATTTAACGAAAAACTATTGTAGACCAAAAATTACAAAAGCATTTTAAAGCTAAATTTTTAAAATTGTACTTTTACGTGCTTTAGACCGTTTTCTAAACATTTTTTATCTTTACATTTCTAAAATTGAAAAAGAATACGTACTTTCTATACTCTGCAGTTCAATAAAAAAATTTTTTCTCGCAAAATTTATAACAACTGTCAAAAACAACATTTTTTTTTACTTTTCAACCAACCTTACATTTTGTAAACAATAAACGTTTACCATCGATAATAGCATGAGCATAAAAAATATAGATTCAGCTTCAAAGTTGTGTAACTCAGCCAAAAAGAATCGTAGTAAAATTTGAAGAAATACATTTTTGCAGATAAGATATTGTAATTTTTGACACTTGATATAAATTTTGCGAGAAAATTTTTTTTATCGAGCTGCGGAATGTTGAACGTACAAAATTATAACAACAAAATCATGTTCCTTTTTTGGGCTTAAAAGTGTAAAGATAAAAAATTTTCAGAAAACTGTCTGAAGCACGTGAAACTACAAACTTCAAATTTTTGATCTGCGATAATTTTTCATCGCATTTCAGCGGTTTAAAAATTGCTCGATTTAGATCCTTTCTTATCTATAAAAGCTTACCTAGGCTCATTTGAATATTCGTAGGGCTGATTTTGCACTTCCGCTACTATTCGATTAGACATACGCTTAACTCGGACATAATCATTTAAAGAATATTCGACGTGATCAAAAAACTCCGAAAAATAATTCATTGCACGAGATTTAAAGCATTCAGCTAAATCACCGGTTAAGCAACGTTCGTTAACCTTTGCCAAATATGGATCAACATCTTTTCCAGTTCCAAAACCGATATAATTGAATAGATCCTCCACATGTTGAACGGGATTAAAGCCTCTTTGTTGCGACGTAACTTCTTGAAGATCTTCTGAAATCGTAAACTCAAATGTAACTTTTTTCTTCGCGTTTTATTATTTTAAATTAAATATTACAATCTTATAAATTAATATAATAAAGTATATTACAGTTTAAATTCCTTTAAATTAATATTGTAAAGATCTGTCACAATTATTTCTTTACCTTAAATTATATACAATGCCAAATAAAAAAAATGTAATATTTTAATGTGGACTTTATGTCTAACACGTTAGATATGTAACTGTTAAAAATTATGGAGCAAAATTATTTAATTTTTAAGCGAAATTAATTATTAAATTACATAATGTGTTGAACTAAATAAAATTAATTTATATAAATAATTTCAAAAAGTTAAATAATTTTTACCTTGTTTTTCTGCTTGATGATCGGAAACGCCATCCTTGAATGTAATTTTGTTTTCCGTGGATTGACAACATATCAGCAAGGAAGATGTCAAAATGATTCCCAGAATTACCAACGACTGCTGCAGTTGCATTCTGCTATTCTGATTATTCCACCTGTAATCACGCGTTGTTATCGATTTGTTTTAATAAAATGTAACATATTATAAAAATACACACACAATATCGACACAAATTGATTAATTCATCACATTGTTTATTCATTATTTTTAAAGCAACATGTAGACTAATTTAATTTAATTTGATTTTATTATTACTCTATTTGATTCTCTTATTTTGTTAACGTTTTTTTTTTTCATTTTATTTTTATAACAATAAGTATAATGAAAGAAATTTTGATGCACGTATGTAAAATAATGAACTATATTATCACTAAACACAGAATATAACGATGATTGCACAATTTATATGCATTTGTTTTCTCAATAGGAAGAGAAATTTAAATATGATTAAATTTCTCACCAAACTATCAAATAATCGCGATTCGATACTCGCTACACGACATCCTTGTTTTAAAAACCCGTTCTCGTGGTGATCCTCGAACAGCACTCTAACGTCTGCGAGATCGACTGTAGGCAGTCGACGCCTGCTGGTTCATCAAGTGCCGTTAGATGAGCGCACCAATCAGAGTTAAAGAAGGGAAAGAATCGGGTTCGCGATTCCAAATTCTGATCACGCGCGCATTAACGCTTGAATAATAATAGTAATATATACTTTAAATCATCTTCCTCGAACCACAAATTCGCCACTTAAATTGTAAAATTACAAATTGTTTATCTTTAAAATGATGAGAAATTGTAATGACGTTGAAAAATTTGTTCCAATGAGCACACGCACACAAACCCAATGAACAGATTAAGAGCTTGTATAGATAAACAATGAATAAACCAAACGTTGAACAATTGAAATAAAAATTAATAAAATAAAAATACGAACCATTGATTTCAAATTTAAAAACATGATTTTTAAAATATTAATTAAAAAGTGCTGAAAAAGACAATTTATCGTATAATAATAAAACGTATAAAAAATATAACTTACCCTGTTAATTGGAAGTTGAAGCTTGAAAGAGGAATTAATTAAAAAAGTTATATCATGAATGCTCTAAAATTAACTGAAGCTGCACACTGAATATCAATACGTGCTGCACGCAATTTTACTTAAAAGCGGTGTGACGCCTTCACTATACATCATCTTTGTATTTATATGGGCGTACCATCTCGTTTTAAAGAGGGGGAAGGATCCGTAAGTTGTCCTCAGAATGGCTAACAGAATTTACAAAAATTGAAAGTGAAAGTGGTGCCCGGAATAAGAACCGGAACTAGGTGGTCTTAAAGAGCAGAGACGGAAGGTGCGTCACAGGAGAAAAGGAGTCAACGTACTTTCCTGTCCAGTTACGACCCGAGGTGCGTCATCACGGAACTAAAGAGTCCTTTCTTCTTATTGATGCTCTTTTTTGCGCGCCATAATATATTCTTACGCTTATGTAATTTTTCTCTATATATAATCCAACATCCACTTAGTATTATCATATTTTTTTATGACACATCGCTTTTGATATGCGTGATGCCGGTGAGTGAACTAAGTCAAAAATTTTGAAAAATTAATTTTATCACTTATTTTGTGTTATATCGATCTATAAAGTCGAAATATCTCAAGATAAAAAAATCATCAAAAAATATATGACTTAGTCCACTTTCATAATTACCGACATTATCTTTTATAAGATTTTAATTAATTTGATGCACTGTTTTATGTGATTATTATACAAATTGTGTTTTGAACAAAAAAAAAGACTTCTGTTTTTCTCTAGCGCTCTATATTTTAAAGGATTTTGATTATATAAACACGATTGTATCATATGTCGTGACGCATAACGCAGTGTTACTTTGGAGAAATTTGTGTAGCTGACGTCATGAATTTTTTATTGACGTACTCTGCACACTAATTCATAAATATATAATGCAAAACTTGTGACAATCGCAACTTTTTAACAAAGTTAGATCAATTTAAATACGCACGCGCTTTGAACGATACATTTTTCTTGCACGTGTAATGAATAAATTTAATGAATTAGCGTCTTCATCCTCACATCACACAAATAAATAATATTTGAAGTCACTATCATTCATCAATATTGAATCTCGTACATAATAGCACTCAATAAATAAATTAAATATATAATAATTTTTATTATGTCATATTTATACAACTTATCGAATAAGAAATAATTCATTTACATTGTTAAATTATTAATCGATTATTTATTTGTGTGAATAAATGGTTAATAAGGTTTATTAGAATTTTTCTCCGAGAGATTTAAAAGTTTTGTGCAAGATATACTCGCTGTAAATGTATCATTATCTAATTATTGCTAATAATCTCAAAACAGAGAAAAAACTTCTGCAAAAGAATAACTTTCTCTAATATTTCTATTGCAAAATTATAATTGGATCGCATCTTTATTTCCAAGTCACTTTATTACGTGAGAAGTAGATTGAATCACATGTATCTCTCTCGTAATCGAAAGTCGAACGTTCTACAAATTGCAATTGTATCCACACACAGTTTCCCCTTAAGTTCAAGAGAGATGCTTAGAAAATTATGTTAATATTGACTCGCTTATTGACAATTATGCATGACCGGCTTTCCTGTTGAATGCAATACAGGATGTCCCCTACACTGTTTAATACACTTTCTTTTACCGTGTTTATTATAATTGCTGTTGACTATGCAAAGAGATATCCATTGTTAAATACTAATGTTATTTAAATTTTAAATTTAATTTCTAATGTTATTTAAATTTTAAATTTAATTTCTAATGTTATTTAAATTTTAAAACAAAATATTATTTACATGTAAATAACGTTTTGAAACAAAATTTAAATAACATTAGAAATATATTAAACAAATGCGAAATATAAAATAAAATTTTCAACAATTTTTTTACAAATTTGTGTAAACTATATAAGCATCTCGATTAACTTTAAATTTTTATAAAAACATTTATTTAACGATGATGATTCTAAAATTCTGAAGACTTGAGTAAAAATCACTAACACGTTAGAAACCGAGCAAACAGTTATTTACCATGAATGATAATTTAGGAAACTGTGTATAGTACATCAAGATTTATTTCATTGCAATAGTTGATGATTTAAACAATAGTGAATTAAGTGCGTCAAGAGCCTCAAGCGCAAATCGATTTTTGAATAGTCTTATCTAAAACGCTATTAAAATCTAAACTCGGCAAAGTTTTAAAGTATATTAAATACTATTTTTAATGCTAAAAATTAATAATTAATAATATGTTAAAATAGGAAAATCGAATTTTTGCGTCTCGAGGCCCCAAATGAGCATCTCATAAGTCTGAGTGATAATCCGCTGTTAAATGCGGATTACGAGTAATGCAGCAAAATTGTAGGTATAATGCCTGCAATCTTTACACTTACAATATCTACGAACAAATGCTAATTCGTTAAAGACGCTAAATTTTCAGCCACTGCACTAGCGCATCTGAACTGTGCAGCTGATTTTCGAACTCGCGGATCAAGAAGCATCTTCTTCCTTTATCGCATTTGCGGCTAATACGTTGATTGCCATTCGACGCACCGGCCGTATCGATATCGATTTTCAAAGACCACAATGCGTTTTATCACTATTTTATTACCAATATCACGGATGCGATATATTATACCAATATAAACCGTTAGGTCATATGGCTTTTATTTAAAAAATTCTAATATGACGATGAGATGTCGTATGACCCAAATCATGAAAAAAATTGTAACACTGCTGGCAGACAACGTATCAGTAATGAATTATCAACAAATAACGACAACGGGGGGAAGATGTGACATCTTTAGATCCTTCTAGCCTGAACAAGCTTGTTAATGTCTTGGTACGTCGCCAACATCGCTTGATTCTGCTTGTTAGTCTGATCCTCGCGTGCGTTCGCACAACCTGCGTAGACATCCTCGCACTTAACACCGTCCTGGCCGTCCTTGGCGGCCTTCATGTACCTGAAGAAACGCAGGACGTCGGGATTGTCGCTGCTGGGCTTCCTCAGCTCGTTCAACTCCCTGGACAGCTGGGCGGAGACCAGGTTCGAGTAAGGCGCAAACCGCGCGGGACTCCGGTACATCGCGCACACCGCGTACTCCCTGCAGCCCTCCGTGCTGTGACCGAGGCGGGAGAAGACAGCGTCCAGCCGTGATAGCAGAGGCGAGTAGAATGGGTCGTAGTTCGTCAGGAGCAACGAGCTCGTCGGAATCTCGTGGAAGACCTGCCACCGATAATCAATACGTGTTTATGGCCGCGTACGCTTAATGGTACCCGTATCCGTTACGTGCGTATGCGGCGCAGACGCCGCACTTGCCGAACAAGTTCAAATGAAGTCGACAAAGTGGGTCGAATCTCAATAGTCGAGAGTGTCAAAAGTGGAAGGCACTCTTGTATCCGCCAATCGATACATAGAGAGCAGGGGGAAAAATATATTATTACGGCACACTTACCTAGTTCATTATGGGATCAAATTCTTTCCAACTATTTATGCGTGACTGTCAACGCGATAGCAACGTAAAAATGTATTTTCTGCTAATTAGAATCAGTTAATGAGAAATGTCGTTGCTATACCGACCAAAAATTTTCATATTGTTTCTATAAATTAATTAAAAAAACTTCGATTCTTTTATCTTATTCAAATTTATCAAAATTCAATTAGTAATGTAAGCATTTTAAAAATATGTTATAACAATCAGATTAAAAATATATATTAGATCTGCGAGCAATTGCACGCTCGAAAAGCTCACCTTGAAATCCTGCTTCTTGGAAAGTCCGTGCGAAGCCACGTGTCGCGTGTAATAGCGATCCGAAAGCGCATTCGCATGAGATATTCTCGAATCGACGAACGAGTAGCGGGACCCGATATCCGGGCTTTTCTGCGTTTGCATCATACTTTCGTCGTACATGGCGGATGCTGGTAATGTGCCTACGGGTTGCCGCGTTAGGTAGTCATCATTGTAAAGATCAGAGTTATCCTTGAACTCGAAATTTTCCTCGGGTGCCATGGGTGGATGCGCAGATTGCGCGAAGGAGGAAACACCTGTAATTTCAGCGCGCCGTCTATTTGTACTTACGGTTCACGAGATAAATACTTTCTAAATTAATATTCACGTTGCTGTGTGAACTCAACGTGGCAACATTCCTTTTAACAGAACAGGGAAACCGTTTCCTTGATAAGGATAAAGGATAAGGATAATTATCATATCTTGTTAAACTGGAATATCTAACGTTAACTTTCCTGATTTTTTCAAGTTTAAGTTAAAATTAAACCTAAGACAATCTAGAATTAATTTAAATCTTAAATAAATGTTTCAATAACTCTTCTAAAGTTAATATTTGTTAATTTTTCAATGTTAAATAAATTAATCTTCGATATTATTCAAACTAAACTTTTAGCGCGTTCTAAATTTTTTCACACCATATTTAACGTCATGATCCGATCACAGCAATATCTACTTCTGCATTTTAGTTTACTAAACGTAATGTACGTACCTTTTCCGACGATATTACCAATACTGCCGATGATGCTCGGCAGGAAGAGGGCGAGCAACACGCTCTTAATTATTTGCACGCCGAAGAACAGAGGTAGCAAGAGTTTCTTCAGACCGAACGCTAGAAAACCAAGCCCGAATCCTGTTAAAAAGGTACTCTTTCCCTGAAACATGGCTGAAAGCAAAAGTACCAGCTCGTTAAAGCCCTGCCGTTAGCCCTGAAAGCCATGCTGCAGCCAGCATCTTTTCATATTCCACCTCTCCGACTCCACCTGCCACGTATTTTGCTGAAACACTCCGCGTGTAAATAGAAAAAAAATTTACGGCAATTATAATTAATTTCGCTGCTCGCACAATATGTCACACGCCTTGTTTCCCCGCATACCCGTTTTGTCGCTGGTTTAGTTCGCGTTTTTTGCCAATTAGCATTGACCCAACCTCGTTATTTGATTTAACTCCCAAAAAGCCAATTCATGAAGTTAAAGCTTTTTCTCACACCCTGATCTCGTTTATGCCAGATTGCGCCCGCGAGTGCACTAGTTCCGTCATTTGTCGGGTAATTAAAAAAATTTAATTGACGAGCTTCCGAAAAATAGACAATAGACTTTTTTAAGAGAAGCCAATTAAGAATTTGCATTTCTCAAAAAAAAAAAAGAATATCTTGTAGATGTATTTTTGTAACAATCAAAAAAGATATTCACAAAAAAATGGAAAGGTGAAGATAGAAGAAGAAAAGTAAAATTGCATAATTCCGTTTTTTTTTTTCTTTTCCCGGTGAATCGCTCAATTACTCTCACTTCACACCAATTAGAGATTACGCAACCGCATCGCGGCGAGTATAGCGCCGCAGCACGTGGACAATAATTGATGCAATATCCCCGGCTCGATGCGAACTCTATCGCGATGCAAGTTCAGCAAATTCACCTTTCGTATCGACGAAAGTAACGGCACTAGTACACACGCGACAAAAACCCATAGCAAGCGGTTTAGAAACTCACAACCAAAGAACGTCCTGGCTTTCCTGGCGAGACTCAGATCCTTGTTTAGACGTATCTTCATCACGTGCGTCCTGGCGTAATGATGAACCTTGTCCAGGAGATTCGAGTCCGGATCGTTGTTGTTCTTTTCACCGTCGCGCTCGACGTCCGCTTCAGGATTTCTCACTATCTGCACGGATTCCGTTACGTTGTACGTGTCGACTTGCGAGAGCCGGTCAAGGAAATTCGAGAAGTCCTTCCGAATGCAGGAGACCATGTGCATCCCTTCACAATCAGTCGAGTTTGACAGGGACAGACCGTTCGTGGAATTCATTTCAATCGGATTAGCCGTGGCGTTGACGATTCTCGTCGGTTCGATCTGATAATCCGCTTTGTCGGTTGCGTGAAATTCCATATCGAACTTGGTTGGTTTTCCATGCATATTGTGAGGATGATCACGTGAGAGTTCATTGGTTTTGTTTTTGGATTCGCGCGAGAACGGCACCTCGTTTTCCTCAACGTTGTCGTCATCGTGGTGCACGATGGTCTCGTTCAAGGACGCAGCCTCTGCGTGGACCTTGACCCCTACGACAGAACGGAGACACGCAACAGCCAGGATCACGATTGAGAATATCGTGGCTGCTCTCCCCCTTGCCATTGTCCGATCTGTGAAAAAGGCACCAGGGCGCTCGACTGTTGGCTAACTACAATTACTACGAAAGAAGAACTGCATCTCGACCTGCAGCTTCGTGTTCTGAAATGAGACAAATAAATGAGAACAGTAAAGACAAAAATTTCTAGAATCAAATGTATCCAAAATCAACAGATTTAATAATTAAATTTTTTTCAAAAATATTCCAAGTTAAATCTGCAGTTAAGAAATCAGTAAAAAAAAATACACAGAGAAGTATAAAAAATAAATTTTACAGAATAAATATTGCATAATTAAATAGCTGATTATTTTATTCTTTTCATTTTTCTACAAGAAAATAATTATTTAATTTTGGTCATTATTTACATATAAAATTAAAAAAGTACGGACATCCTGTTAATTTGCATTTCACGATATGTAGTATTATTTCCGTCTCTTGATTAATAAGATAGATAAGGGTGCTACGAAAAAATATTATTTCACAAATTATATATTAAATAAACTAGTTTATAGTAGCAGCGTAGTATTCTGCATATGTGATAAAACTCGGTTATGCTAGATCGGTCTTGCGTATCTTTCGTAAACGGTCAGCTGATTCTTTCATTCATGTACATGGTTGTATGGAATTATCCTGCTAAATACGTGTGATAAGTCAACTTGACCGATTGAACTTTATTTCCAAGAATTTGAAATCAAATTTGAATGACATTTCTGCGTATAAATCATTTTTTATCTTTATTTAAAAGATTTTATATTTTAATAATAATTTTTTCATATTAACGAACAATTAATTTATAGAATCTTTTTTCCATCTCAATTTTAATTATCGCATATAATTATGTTAATTTTAATTAATTTTATACATTGAATTAAGTATATTCATGAATTCTACACTGATGAAATTTATTTATTTATTGGATCAGAAAGTTCCTGTGAATTTTTGAATAAAAATAAAAAACGCAAAAATCTTAAAGAACTTTCTATTCAACCCAATATTTAATCTCATTAAATTAAATAAAAAATAAAATTAATAAAAAAAGTTTTCGAATTTTTCAAAATATAAATGAGGGACTCATAAGACTCATAAGACAAAATATACAAGAGAAGGTCAAAAAATAAAGAAACATTTTCAATTGATATAGAATTGAAAAAAAGTTCCTTTATTTTTTTACTTTTCATGACATAAACGGATCAAAGTGCAATGTAGGTCGCAGTTCAATTTTGGAAAGCCCGGACATGTGCACACGTGTAACTAATAACCGGCACACCAAGCACGGTCCTTTCACCAATCCATTCTAATACACCCAATCTCACCGAAAATGCTTTGTTCCCTTTTTGTTCTCGTACATGCATGCACAAAAATAATTTCATTCGCCGATCGCACATGCGACAATTCATAGAGAACGAAGCCGGTGTGCCTCACGTCGAATTATTCTATACTCACTTTCACGGTGTGTCGCTGACATCAATGCCCTGATCACACCTAGACCAATGATCGGCGTCAATCTCAGCAGCCCGACTTTCTTCGCGATCGAAAAAAAAAAAAATAACCGATTGATAGAGCGCGTCTGAATGATCAAACAGTCGGAAAGTCGGAATCGTTTAGTCGACGTCCAGCGCTGTACTGGCAGCCGGTCTCCGTAGGATCGGTTCGACTGACCCGATCTGGGTTACCCGGCCATCCGTCTGTCCGTCCCTCTATCCGTTGCTTTCCGCCTTCCTCGCTCACCACGTTCGTTCATTCGTCCGTTTGTTCCCGCCATCGCCACGGGATCTACCCTTTCTTCCTTCCTGGAGGGATTCTTTCCCATTCAGATTTGATCGATCAATTTCGTCTAGCTGCTGAAATCGCATACTTTGCACGGGCGATTTCACTCGGCGGTATTTCGGCGTTCGAACGTTCAGGTGAGTTCAATGAGCTCGACGCCGCCCAGTGACATGAGAAATTGTTCTGCGAGGCAATCACAGTAAGATTTCCAGTTCATTGAGCTTAATTCGCTCAAGTGGCCGATTAAAAATACGGAAGCAGTCGAAAAGAATTTAAATTAAACTGCCAAACTCGTCTTCCATCTGGACTGGAATTAGCATCTTTCGCCTTCGAACTCGAACTTTAAGATTATCTTTGGGAAGAAATGGACTGATAAAATGTCAAAATTTGACCCTGATTCGATGCTAAATATTCTTAATTAGCGTGTTCTTATCCTGAAAAGATATCTCAAGAAGAATGTGAACTGCATCCTAAAAGCTTCTGTAATAATTTTAAGTTATTAATTTTTTTTAACAACAAATAAGAACAATTTTATCGATCAAGGCTTACTCTTTCATATGTGTATGATTCTGTACAAAAAACACAAATGAGATTAATAACTGTTGCGCTATTTACAATGTGCTCGTTTTATTTAAATTGTTCAACATATATGATATACTGTCTTTGAATATGACATTGCATGAATGCATACGAATACTTAATTGTTAAAAAACGATTGCAGTAACAAATTTTATTATTTTCATTAAGCCTTTTGCGTGATCTACTTTTCATATGGAAATTATCTTTGGTTATGACGTCAGCGAAGATCACTCGTTCAAATCGAATCGAATTAGTCACGAGTTCAATCGCGGTTACACACTTTTACGAGCGATTTCTCTCGTGTTTTCTCAGAAACTTGCCGATATTGGAGGCGGTACTAACGTTTTCATCGTGTGGCATTCGTATGACCTGAGCTGGTCTCCAAAAAACTAGTTTACCTGATTTTAGGTTTCCACATGGACTCGGTCATCCTTTTGCGATCGAAATAACAGTTAATTCGATTATCACAAAGTGATAGATTAATTTACTATTTGCACTTGACATCGGTATATAAGTCTCGTGTTTAAAGATGACGTTTGCAAATGAACAGTGGCATTAGAAGGAACCCGTTATAACGTAACGTTAAAAGAATCTTTACGAGAACACTACTGATTGTGAATGCTATTGATGCTTTCAAACAAAAACAAATTCTCCGGCACTTTGCAATAATGTCTACAGACTTTGCATCATAAATCGCGATGGAAAACGGTAAAAGCCTCGCAAAAATAGCCTCTCAATCTTTTTTACAAAGACTAATATACATAACAATTGCAATAACAGATTTTTCCCTTTTCTTAGCATCTTTCTTCGCGAAAAGATTATAAGTTACGATAATTTTATAATAATTAATTCTGAGATGGATAAGTGTCCTTAAACCTTGAAATTTCGTAGTATGCGATACATGTTTTTTTTTCTCAGTAGGTCGCATTTTATAACTTAATATTGCATCGAAGTCTCTGATATGACTGCCAAATGTAAGAAAAGAGGATTGTGGAAAGAGGGTCAAACTGGTGTATCACTTCTTTTCGTTCAAATTTCACATCCAAACCGGTATGACACACCTAAACCAAAACCGTCAGTTATATGTAAACACAGTTAACTTAATCATATTTATATTTTTACTATTTTTTTTGCATATTCTTTTTCCAAGCAATCTTTCGATAACATTTTTATTCAGTCATGCATTGAAATTAATCAAAAAGTGCTAAGCCAAATTCATATCTATAAACACAAAAATATTATAGAGTGTATTTTAATACAGGAAGGTTAAAAAGAGACGCATTAATTTATAAGTTATCTTACAATTTTATTTTTCTCTTAAATCTACAGTTACAAATAGAAATTATAACATTAAACACACTTTTAACAAACGCCAATAGATTTTATTTATGGAAATCAAAAAACAAAATAAATATCAACTATCTGAACGCTTGCAAATAATATTTTTCTACTTCTATTTTATTGAAAGTCATCTACGCACGCAACATGATTGACATCGGTAAAAAATATCCAAAAAAAAGTTTTCAAATTTAAACCAAATTGGTACAAAAAATTTCTAATTTCATATAGATATTTTTTCGCACAAAATCAAACACAATTGTAATTTTAATCAATTTTCATGAAAAAAAAGAACGAATTCAATCTGGATATCTTTTCTCAGAGAATCACTCGTAATTCTAATCGACTTCTGCGAGTAAAAACGATTTCCTGCCAAAAGGAAAAACAGTAGACTTATTCGAGCTAAACCGTCAATTAAATCGTCTAAGTTGGCGCGGCCTTCCTTTCCGCGAGCTTCTCATTTATAACATCCTGAGAAACATCTCCAGCATTTAACGCACACTCAGAATTACCTGTTTACGTCATACGCGCATACGAATCAAGCACATATACAAATCGTACAATGGACGAGCAATACATTCTACGTTAGATACGGATACGCAAGTCGAACGCCGTGACATGGACGATGGTCCGTTACGTTAATGCGACTTTTTCGTTCGCATATAACGTAAGAACGTAACGGTCGGATTGCCACGAACGAGTGCACACCGCATGATCGCGTATCCGTAGCGATGCGCGAAGTGTCGCTTCCGATTCGCGTTCCCTACCGTTTCATGGAGCCCAGATATTGCTATCGACCTTCCGCTCGCCAGCGAAGAGTCGAGAAACCCTTCGAAAATATCTTACACTATTCCTTACGACGAATTACAATTATCTTTGTAATAAAAAGTAATTAAAAAAAACAATATTAATTATAATAAATAATAAAATTAAGATCAATATCAGTCATCATAGTGGCTTTAAAAATACGCGTTGGAAAGTCCGGTGAAGAATACACATTGGGTGATTAATTAAGATTATATGTATGATCCTACACGCGGCGGACTGAGAAAAACGTATCTGGAAAACGATGAAATTCACTAGGTGTGACACGGGGGCCTAAATGTGTCGACCGGGTTGATGGATACGATTACTGGCCTTTCGCCGTGCACTGTCCGCGAGCCGATAACGGTCTTGGATCAGACCGCGTGCGTGGGCACGCGTATGTGTACACACGGACACGTCGGTCAAGGTATACGCACAGATGTGTAACAGCACGACGCGCAAACCAACTCGTACGCACGTTTGAACCGCAAGCCGGGCGCTCGTCCAAATCTGCCAGTAGGTCAGTGGAGGGGCCATCGTACTCGGCCGAGTGCCCGGGCAGCATATGACCTTGACCACGATTCTTCCTACTGCCTGCTAGTGCTGCTCCAAGTGCGACGACTTATCGATCCTTATCTTAAAGTTTCGGGAAAAATCGCGATTCGTAAGATATGTAGGAAGCAACATGTCAAACGCATCATTTGGTGTCGAGAGTCAACGAACATTTTATACAATTCCTATGTCTACAAATTTTAGTAGAAGAAAATTATAATTATCTACAAGTGTAAAGCTTAAATTACAATATAAATGCTCTTACTGTACGATAATATCGCTTATATTAACAAATCGGTGTAAAATATGAGAGAGAGAGAGAGAGAGAGAGAGAGAGAGAGAGAGGAGGAGGAAG